CACACATCTACAGCCATCTGATCTTTGACAAACCTGAGAGAAACAAGAAATGGGGAAAGGATTCCCTATTTAATAAATGGTGCTGGGAAAACTGGCTAGCCATAAGTAGAAAGCTGAAACTGGATCCTTTCCTTACTCCTTATACGAAAATTAATTCAAGATGGATTAGAGACTTAAATGTTAGACCTAATACCATAAAAATCCTAGAGGAAAACCTAGGTAGTACCATTCAGGACATAGGCATGGGCAAAGACTTCATGTCTAAAACACCAAAAGCAACGGCAGCAAAAGCCAAAATTGACAAATGGGATCTCATCAAACTAAAGAGCTTCTGCACAGCAAAAGAAACTACCATCAGAGTGAGCAGGCAACCTACAGAATGGGAGAAAATTTTTGCAATCTACTCATCTGACAAAGGGCTAATATCCAGAACCTACAAAGAACTCAAACAAATTTACAAGAAAAAAACAAACAACCCCATCCAAAAGTGGGCAAAGGATATGAACAGACATTTCTCAAAAGAAGACATTCATACAGCCAACAGACACATGAAAAAATGCTCATCATCACTGGCCATCAGAGAAATGCAAATCAAAACCACAATGAGATACCATCTCACACCAGTTAGAATGGCGATCATTCAAAAGTCAGGAAACAACAGGTGCTGGAGAGGATGTGGAGAAATAGGAACACTTTTACACTGTTGGTGGGACTGTAAACTAGTTCAACCATTATGGAAAACAGTATGGCGATTCCTCAAGGATCTAGAACTAGATGTACCATATGACCCAGCCATCCCATTACTGGGTATATACCCAAAGGATTATAAATTATGCTGCTATAAGGACACATGCACACGTATGTTTATTGCAGCACTATTCACAATAGCAAAGACTTGGAATCAACCCAAATGTCCATCAGTGACAGATTGGATTAAGAAAATGTGGCACATATACACCATGGAATACTATGCAGCCATAAAAAAGGATGAGTTTGTGTCCTTTGTAGGGACATGGATGCAGCTGGAAACCATCATTCTTAGCAAACTATCACAAGAACAGAAAACCAAACACCGCATGTTCTCACTCGTAGGTGGGAACTGAACAATGAGATCACTTGGACTCGGGAAGGGGAACATCACACACCGGGGCCTATCACGGGGAGGGGGGAGGGGGGAGGGATTGCATTGGGAGTTATACCTGATGTAAATGACGAGTTGATGGGTGCAGCACACCAACATGGCACAAGTATACATATGTAGCAAACCTGCACGTTGTGCACATGTACCCTACAACTTGAAGTTTAATAATAATAAATAAATTAAAAAAAAAAAAAAGTATATATATATTTTCAGATTATGCATGTGTGTGTATATATATTATACATAATATATGGATTTATTTCATATATACTATGTTAATAGTTATGCTAAATATAGTTAAAATTAATAGTTATAAATTAAACTATATAATTTCATTTAATATTTTAATATACTTTAATACATAACTATATATATCATATGTACACACACAATCTGAAAGTCATATAAAATGTCAAAGAAAATATTTAAAAGGAGTTAGACTGTAACACACAAGATAAGCAAAGGAATCGAAACTCATTAATTTCTTTAATGTCATTAAATTGTGGTTGGCAATCATCATCTTCATCACCTTGTCTAGATATGTATTATTTTAAATGCACTATCATAAAATTAAAAGGAAATACAATTTTCTTCTTGGAATCAGTTTTATTTCCAACAAAAGAGCAAAATGTTATATTCAAAGAAAAATCATAAAATGAAACAATAATCATCAATCTATTTTCTCAATGCGCTATGCAATACCACATGGGAAAAAATACATATTTTCTTTACAAAATAATGTTCCTTTGAAATAAATTCAAACTAGATAAAATCTGCATTCACAGAAGTAGGCAATTACCAAGAGAACAAAGCCCTTAAGGAGCTATCCAATTTATTAACTTCATTCAGCCAAATCAAGGTAAATCACAGCAGTTTACTTTTTTATAATAAAGAAAATTTTCAATTACATTTTTAAAGAATATTCCACACACATAGCAAACGTGCACATTTGCACAGAGTTTTAAACCTCCTACAAACAATCTCAGGAATGATTCTGAAATCCATTCCCAGGAAATTCTTCCTTTGTAATCTGGAAGACTAGTGTTGTGCAAGTTCAAAGAACAACCAGCAAGTGTGTACGTATTTTTTCTTCAGCTTCGCTGTCCCTGAAAAATGATCCATACTGTGTCATTATCTTTATAGAGTTCTTTACTTGCCACTTTTACTTGCCACTTATCCCATATTTCTCTGTCATACCTGTTGGGTTTACTGAGATCTAGACCAAAGTTCTAGCACTGTATATCTACTCCAATTCATTTTAATTAGTGACTAAATACATTCTAAAATCTTTCTCTCTTCCATATAAAACATAAGTATGGGAAAAAATAGTTTCTTTTTCATATGGGTAAACAAAATAAACAATGTATAAACACCTAAAACTCATTTCATATGTGCTCAATGTGTTTCCAATGGGTAATATAGAAGACACATTTCTATGGCCATTTAATTAGGATCAATCTTTGACTAATATATGCTATGCACACAACTCATATTTAAGAAAAAAAATGTGTTTACAATTGTTTTGAGTTGTATAAAGGTATGGATAATTTCAATCAGTGAAAATGTTCCTCATTCAGCTTTTCACAGAGGGGCCAGTGGACTTCCAGTCTTCCACCTTCTAGCTATGTAACTTTGAACAAACCAAATCTCTGAAGCTTAGTTACTTCATCTGCAGTATGTGTTTAATAATATTTATCCTAATTATATTTCAGCATATATAAAACAGGTATATAAAAGTTGTCATTTAAAAATTTAAAACACTTTTTCTGTACTTAATATATTAGACTGTTGACTATGAAATTCATCAATAAAAAAGAGGTTTTTTTAATTTTTTTTTTTTTTTTTTGAGATGGAGTCTCACTCTGTCACCCAGGCTGGAGTGAAGTGGCATGATCTTGGCTCACTGCAAGCTCTGCCTCCAGGTTCACGCCATTCTCCTGCCTCAGTCTCCCGAGTAGCTGGGACTACAGGTGCTCACCACCATGCCGGGCTAATTTTTTTGTATTTTTAGTAGAGACAGGGTTTCACCATGTTAGCCAGGATGGTTTCGATATCCTGACCTCGTGATTCGCCCACCTTGGCCTCCCAAAGTGCTGGGATTACAGGTGTGAGCCACCGCACCCGGCCAAAAAAAGATTTTAAAATGAGTAATATTGTTTACAAGAAAGACAGTACCTACAACACGCATAATACTTGTCAGAAACATATCCTACAGCAGTGACACCAGGGACTGGTTTCGTGGAAAACAATTTTTCCATGGATGGGACAAGGGGATTATTTTGGATGAAACTGTCCCACCTCAGATCATCAGGCATCACATTCTCATAAGAAGTATGAAACCTAGATCCCTCACATGTGCAGTTCACAATAGTGTTTGCGCTTCCATGAGAATCCAATGCTGCCACTGATCTGACAGGAGGTGGAGCTCAGGCAGTAATGCTCGCTCACCAGCCGCTCACCCCCCACTGTGAGGCCCAGTTCCTAACAGGCCAAGGACCAGTACCACCTGGTTGGGGACCCCCGTCCTAAAGCATAAAAGAAGTAAAGTACCAAATGGTTATAACTTGAACATATTCAACTATCCAGTAAACACTCCTAAGGATATCTTTTGCATACGCTAAAAAACAAAAATGGCCTTGGGCTAGGCTAACAGTAAACTGAAAAATAGGGGGAAACATCTCTTAGTAAGGCTTATCTCGTTTAATGAATAGCAACTAAACCAGAGGGCAACTGCTGGTAAGTACACTACCTAACTTCTGTCATGTACTAACATATACCTGACATTTTCCTTCAGACACACTGCAATCAGGATATCAGGATAAGTGACATCATGGTCAGAGGTACCCTAATATTAGAAGATCTTCCCACAAAGATATTTATACTAAGTGAGACACTGCAGCCCTCAAATTTCAAAAAGAAAAGAGATTTAGATGAAGCGAGCACTCTGAAAAGTAATTACAGTAAACAATTATAAATTCAATAAGCAAAATTTGGTGTACTACCTTTTAGCAAAATCTCAACTTAAAAATCTTTATGCAATTACTTGAGAATAACCATATTTCTCAAAAAAAAAAAAGAAGATAAAAGAAATGCAACAAAATACTATGGCTGTCTGGATATTAGGACAATTAGAAATGTTTTTCTTCTCTCTGTTCTATATTTTCCACATTTTATTTAATATTCATGTATTATGATAGGCAAACAGTTTTCTCTAAATAGAGTATTCATGAAGTTCATATTTAACCATGAGATGTTTTTTAAAAATTGCATGGCTGAATTACAATATGGAAGTCTGTCACTGTAAGCATGTGAATTTAAGAACAAAAGACTCTAGCAACACTAGCTGCTTATTACACTTTTAAAAATATCCCTTTCTTTAGATTGAGTTTTAGATAAAAATTCATTTTGAAACTTAAAAGCTAGTCCCAAAAGAGTTAAGGGGAAAAAAAAAATATATAGGTGTTAACTGTACAGAAAATTGTAAACAACAAAAAAAATCACAAAGTTAAAGGATACAGAACAGGATGGAAAACATAAAAAACATTTGCAAGGATGGAAAATATTAGCAACACATAACAGACAAAGAACATTAAAAAAAGAATTCCAGTAAGTCAATGAGAAAAGAGACAAAGAGAACCTAATGACTAAGCTTGTCTTTTTTTTTTTTTTTTGAGACGGAGTTTTGCTCTTGTTATCCAAGCTGCAGTGCATTGGCGGGATCTCGGCTCACTGCAACCTCCGCCTACTGGGTTCAAGCGATTCTCCTGCCTCCGCCTCCCGAGTAGCTGGGATTACAGGTGCCCACCACCACGCCTGGCAAATTTTTTGTATTTTTAGTAGAGAAGGGAGTTTCGCCACGTTAGCCAGGCTGGTCTCAAACTCCTGACCTCAGGTGATCCATATGCCTTGGCCTCCCAACGTGCTGGGATTACAGGCGTGAGTCACCGCGCGAGGCCAAGAAATGACTATGCTTTTCACAAGATGGCACCGAAAGTGAAGGAAGCTCCTGCCCCTCCTAATGCTGAAGCCAAACCCAAGGCTTTTAAGGCCAAGAAGGCAGTGTTGAAAGGTGCCCACAGCCACCAGAAAAAGAAGATCCGCACGTCACCCACCTTCCAGCAGCCCAAGACACTAAGACTCCGGAGGCAGCCCAGATATCCTCGGAAGAGTGCCCCCTGGAGAAACAAGCTTGACTATTACACTATCAAGTTTCTGCTGACCACTGAGTCGGCCATGAAGAAGATAGAAGACAACAACACACTTGTGTTCATTGTGGATATTAAAGCAAACAAGCATCAGATCAAACAGGCTGTGAAGAAGCTCTATGACATTGATGTGGTCAAGGTCAACACCCTAATTCGGCCTGATGGAGAGAAGAAGACATATGTTCGACTGGCTCCTGATTACAATGCTTTGACTGTTGCCAACAAAATTGGGATCATCTAAACCCGGTCCAGCTGGCTAATTCTAAATATATGTATATGTTTTCACCAGAAAAAAAAAAAAGAAAAGAAATGACTAAGAAAATGACAGGCAAGTAAGAAAAAACAAAATGTGGCAAATGTCCACAAGATACCAAACTTAATTCTTAAGGTGAAATCACATTATAATAAAGAGATTATATCCAAAAGAATAAAATAAAATTTACAAATATGCAATGTTATCAAGCAGTTTGTGCATTGTTGGTAATTACTACAGTCTTTTTGGTAGTCAATCTGGAAATGGTTTTTAAAAGTTTAAATACACTTATCTTTTGACTCAGAAATTTTATTTCCCTGTAATCCCAGCACTTTGGGAGGCCGAGACGGGCGGATCACGAGGTCAGGAGATCGAGACCATCCTGGCTAACACGGTGAAACCCCGTCTCTACTAAAAAAATACAAAAAAATAGCCGGGCGAGGTGGCGGGCGCCTGTAGTCCCAGCTACTCGGGAGGCTGAGGCAGGAGAATGGCGTAAACCCGGGAGGCGGAGCTTGCAGTGAGCTGAGATCCGGCCACTGCACTCCACTCCGGGCTACAGAGCAAGACTCCGTCTCAAAAAAAAAAAAAAAAAAAAAAAAAAAAAATTAGCCGGGCATAGTGGCACACGACTATAGTCCCAGCTACTCAGGAGGCTGAGGCAGAAGAATCGCTTGAACCCAGGAGGCAAAGGTTGCAGTGAGCCGAGATCGCGCCTTTGCACTCCAGCCCGGCGACAGAACAAGACTTTGTCTCAAAAAAATAAAAGAAATTTTACTTCTAGGTATCTATCCCACAGAAATTATTACATATATATACATGGTACATGTTTGTCAGCACTATACATAAGTGAAAAACTTGAAACAAAAAAATAAGTACATTATGGTTGAGCCATTCTATGTATCATTAAAAAGAATGAAATATCCCATATACACTGACATGAGAAGAATTACAGAATTAACAGATGAGTGAAAGAAAGCAAGTTGCAGAAAAATATCTTTGCGATTTATCCAATTTATTTAGAGGTGGAGAGAGAAAAGTGGTGGACAGAACAGAGAAAGAGTGAGAGAGAGAGAGAGAAGTGTTTGTGTATATATAAGAGCCTGCTTAAAGGACTCTCACTGGTCAAATTTGGACAATGTAACAAGTATCGGATACAGCAATCAGTTAACAAATTACAACATATGAGCTCATGGTAATATTGAAAAGGAAAAAAGGGGAAGAGAATTTCTTTACACAGTAAATGCTTCCTAATAAATGTAGGAGGAATTAGAATTAGAATTAGCAAATTTCCATCTTGCAGCCCACATATGTAATCAGTGTAATTGTAATCAGTGACTTTGACAAGGATGCTAAAACTATTAAGTGGAAAGTTGCTAGAGAATGGCATATTAACAAAGTCTCAAAGTTATTACCCCACAGATTTCTCATTAATTACAAATAGAAAAAAAAAAAAAAAACCTTTAAAATTAAGAGGTCTGTGGTTGACACCACCTGAACTATCACCAATAATGCAATAAATTGACATTAGACTTTTTTTTTTTTTTTTTTTTTTTTGAGACAGAATCTCACTCTGTTGCCCAGGTTGGAGTGCAGTGACACAATCTTGGCTTACTGTAACCTCCACCTCCCAGGTTCAAGCTATTCTCATGCCTCAACCTCCCAACTAGCTGGGATTACAGGCCAATTTTTGTATTTTTAGTAGAGACGGGGTTTTGCCATGTTGGCCAGGCTGGTCTTGAACTCCTGACTTCAAGTGACCCACCCACGCTGGCCTCCCAAAGTGCTGGGATTACAGGAGTGAGCCACCACACCCAGCCACATTATACATCTTACAAAAAATACTCTTACCAAAAAAAAAAAAGTTTAAACTGAATCTAATCACAAGAAAACAATAAGATATATCCAGACTGAGAGATATTCAATATGACATTATAAAAACTAAGATTCTTCAATATGTCAACATCATGAACACCATCAAAAGGCAGAAAAATTGTTCTAGATTAATGGAGACTAAAGAGATATAACACAAGTACAACTCATGGTACCTGCATGGATCCTGTGGGGTGTGGAGAAACCATAGTGATAATAGAGGTATAGAGATTATAAGAAAAGTGTGCATATTATTGGCTATTAAATTAAAAATATATATTTGTGTATATGCATGAGCAAGCAAAAAAAAAAAAAAAAGCCTGGAAGAACAAACACAAACACTAAAGTTTTAAGCATATTTACCTCTAGGTGGTATAATTATGAGAGATGTTTTCTTTTTCTTTTTCTTTTTTTTTTTTGAGACAAAGTCTTCCTCTGTAGCCCACACTGGAATGCAGTGGTGCAATCTTGGTTCACTGAAGCCTCGAACTCCCTGGCTCAAGTGATCCTCTGCCTCAGCCCCTCAAGTAGTTGGGATTACAGGCGCGAGCCACCACACCTGGCTAATTTTTGTATTTTTTGTAGAGACCAGGTTTCACCACATTGCCCCAGCTGGTCTCAAACGCCTAAGCTCAAGTGATCCACCCACCTCAGCCTCCCAGATTGCTGGGATTACAAGTGTGAGTCACCACGCCCAACTGGGAGATGTTTTCTTAGCTTATTTCTACTGATGTTTTCTACAATGGACATATATCTACATAATAAAATAAAGTTTAAAAACCGCTGGTACACAAGGTACCAGGGACAGATGGGGTAGATTCACACCAAATTGTTAACAGTGATTCCCTATGCAAAAAGAAGTAGAGTTGAGACAGAAAGCATAACTATTTTACATACCTGCTCACATGTTACTTATAATTAAGAAAAAATATTTTAATGAATTAAGATTTTTCAAGGTAATAAACTTGGACTGTGTATGGGATTCATGCTAAATGTAAATTTTAGCTGTTCTTCTCACAAAAACAAAAAAATGAGTAAGTTCTGCAGAAGGATGGACTTGGTAAACTTTTTAAAAATTGGGTAATTATGTGAGATGATGGATATGTTCATTTCCTTCACTACAGTAACCTTTTAACTACCTATATGAATCCCATAACAACACATTGTATACCTTAAATATACACAATAAAATCTTTAAAAATAAAATTAAAAATAAGATTTTTCAAATATCCAAATAACAGGAAGACAAATGGTAAACACTGGCTTAACATCTATATATTTGGGTTATATTTGTGGAACAAGAGGAATCTGGGTAAAAAGAAAAGCATATATGAAAGCCCCCAAACACTGGAGAAAAAGGCAAGTGGTATGGGATCCCAAGAGTCTTGCTATTAGTGTGAACTTTATTTTTAAGGGACTGATTTTAAGCGAAAACAATATGAACAGATATGCACCAGCACTTTGGGAGGCCAAGTGGGGCAGACCATGAGGTCAGGAGATCAAGACCATCCTGGCCAACATGGCGAAACCCCATCCCTACTAAAAATACAAAAATTAGCTGGGTGTGGTGGTGCATGCCTGTAATCCCAGCTACTCGGGAGGCTGAGGCAGGAGAATCGCTTGAACCCAGGAGGCGGAGATTGCAATGAGCCGAGATCATGCCACTGCACTCCAGCCTGGCGACACAGCGAGACTCCGTCTCAAAAAAAAAAAAAAAAAGGAAAGAAAAATCAACCTGAAGACAATAGAAGAGCTGGAGCAAGAGGAGGCACATCTGTTTAGCAGATACTACCCAAGCTTCCATCTGCACTGACCCTCAAACTTCTATTGGCGCTCACATCGTTACTTTTTGTCATCAGCATTTCATTTTTGCCTCTTCTTTCCCGTGCTTGCCCTAACCATTATTAAGAGGAATAAAAAATCTTAATTTTTGGCCGGGCACAGTGGCTCACACCTGTAATCCCAGCACTTTGGGAGGCAGAGGCGGGTGGATCACCAGAGGCAGAGGAGTTCAAGACCAGCCTGACCAACATGGAGAAACCCTGTCTCTAATAAAAATACAAAAAATTAGCCAGGCATGGTAGTGCATGCCTGTAGTCCCAGCTACTCTGGGAGGCTGAGGCAGGAGAATTGCTTGAACCCTGGAAGTGGAGGTTGCAGTGAGCTGAGATTGCTCCATTGCACTCCAGCCTGGGCAACAAGAGCAAAACTCCGTTTCAAAATAAATAAATAAATAAAATAAAAAGCCTTAATTTTTAGAAACCTCACTGTCAACCTTATACTTGCCTTATACCAGGAACCATGCTTCATTATACATTGCTCTGGCTCCTCCCATGATCTATACCTGTGGCTGTCTAAGCTCCAGCATGACATCATCCACAGTGTAGAGTTCCTTTTATCGCCCCATTCTTACTTTCTTCTAAACCAATGTCTCTCAAAGGATGATCCTCCCCTTCTCCTACATGAGGAATCTTGAAGCACCTTTTAAAATTATACACACATTAGAGGAGGCTGAGGCAGGAGAATCACTTGAACTCAGGAGGTGGGGTTTGCAGTGAGCCCAAATTGCGCCACTGCACTCCAGCCTGGGCAACAGAGTGAGACTCTGTCTCAAAACAGACAAACAAGTTAAAAAGAAAAAAAAACCACACACACACACACACACACACACACACACAAACAGAAATAAGGAGTAATTTCCTCAACTAGAGCATAAAGAAACTCTACAAAAAAACCTATAGCTAACATCATACTTAACGATGAGAAACTAGAAGCTTGCCCACAAAGATGAAGTATGAGGCAAGGATGTTCTCTGTCACTGCTGTTTTTTAGACAAGAAAGGGAAATAAAAATATACACACTGGAAAGAAAGAAAGAAAATCATCTTTGTTTTCAAATGACATGACTGTCTAAGTAGAAAATCTGGAAGAGTAGCCAAAAATTTCCTGGAACTAAAAAGCAATTATAGCAAGACTGCAGTATACAAAGTTAATATACAAAAGCCAATTGCTTTCTTATGAAAGCAATGAACAAGTAGAATTGAAATTAAAAACAAAATTCCACTTACATTAGCACCTCCCAAAAAATACTTAGATATAAATCTAACAAAATATTGC